TAATACAAAGCGGGGGAAACCCTTTTTCGGTAAATTGTTTCAAAACATTTTATTCCTTGAATTGTGCGTCCAAATCAAGAACTATTTTCACCATTGAGTTTCTTGTGTTCATATCCTCAAAATTAGATCCCATGAAAAGAGCTGTAAAAGATTGGAAAGTGAAAAAAAATCAGAAAAAATATAAAAACCGGGAAAAGGGAAAAAACAATACAGGAAACCAAAAAAGAATGGAACAAAGAACGATCCAATAATAACAGAGGTAGGAAAAAACCAAAATCGGGACAACACAAATGTGCTTTTTTACTTTTTAGCGGAATCACACATGAGCTTTTCCCTTTTCAGAAATCACATGCATGCGAAAAGCACACTTGTTGTTCACCACGAAGCACACTTGTGATGATCACATTATGTGCTTCACGCAAGAATTCCAGAAAAAAATCGATGAAACCTAACAAAAGCTAAGCAAAATCCAAAAGACCGAAAAACACCCGAAAATGTGTGCATTTTTAAAAAAAATGTGCTGCGGCCGAAGCGCTGAGCACGCAATACGTGGCAGCCTTCAGAGGCAGTACATGGCATGTTGGGACGCTCCCCATGCTAGTACCAGCTAAAAAAGTTGGAAGGGGAGTACCAGCTAAAAAAGTTGGAAGGGGTGCCATTGAGTTGTGCGTCCAAATCAAAAACTATTTTCACCATTGAGTTTCTTGTGTTCATATCCTCAAAATTAGATCCCATGAAAAGAGCTGTAAAAGATTGGAAAGTGAAAAAAAATCAGAAAAAATATAAAAACCGGGAAAAGGGAAAAAACAATACAGGAAACCAAAAAAGAATGGAACAAAGAACGATCCAATAATAACAGAGGTAGGAAAAAACCAAAATCAGGACAACACAAATGTGCTTTTTTACTTTTTAGCGGAAGCACACATGAGCTTTTCCCTTTTCAGAAATCACATGCATGCGAAAAGCACACTTGTTGTTCACCACGAAGCACACTTGTGATGATCACATTATGTGCTTCACGCAAGAATTCCAGAAAAAAATCGATGAAACCTAACAAAAGCTAAGCAAAATCCAAAAGACCGAAAAACACCCGAAAATGTGTGCATTTTTTTAAAAAATGTGCTGCGGCCGAAGCGCTGAGCACGCAATACGTGGCAGCCTTCAGAGGCAGTACATGGCATGTTGGGACGCTCCCCATGCTAGTACCAGCTAAAAAAGTTGGAAGGGGAGTACCAGCTAAAAAAGTTGGAAGGGGTGCCATTGAGTTGTGCGTCCAAATCAAGAACTATTTTCACCATTGAGTTTCTTGTGTTCATATCCTCAAAATTAGATCCCATGAAAAGAGCTGTAAAAGATTGGAAAGTGAAAAAAAATCAGAAAAAATATAAAAACCGGGAAAAGGGAAAAAACAATACAGGAAACCAAAAAAGAATGGAACAAAGAACGATCCAATAATAACAGAGGTAGGAAAAAACCAAAATCAGGACAACACAAATGTGCTTTTTTACTTTTTAGCGGAAGCACACACGAGCTTTTCCCTTTTCAGAAATCACATGCATGCGAAAAGCACACTTGTTGTTCACCACGAAGCACACTTGTGATGATCACATTATGTGCTTCACGCAAGAATTCCAGAAAAAAATTGATGAAACCTAACAAAAGCTAAGCAAAATCCAAAAGACCGAAAAACACCCGAAAATGTGTGCATTTTTTTAAAAAATGTGCTGCGGCCGAAGCGCTGAGCACGCAATACGTGGCAGCCTTCAGAGGCAGTACATGGCATGTTGGGACGCTCCCCATGCTAGTACCAGCTAAAAAAGTTGGAAGGGGAGTACCAGCTAAAAAAGTTGGAAGGGGTGCCATTGAGTTGTGCGTCCAAATCAAGAACTATTTTCACCATTGAGTTTCTTGTGTTCATATCCTCAAAATTAGATCCCATGAAAAGAGCTGTAAAAGATTGGAAAGTGAAAAAAAATCAGAAAAAATATAAAAACCGGGAAAAGGGAAAAAACAATACAGGAAACCAAAAAAGAATGGAACAAAGAACGATCCAATAATAACAGAGGTAGGAAAAAACCAAAATCAGGACAACACAAATGTGCTTTTTTACTTTTTAGCGGAAGCACACATGAGCTTTTCCCTTTTCAGAAATCACATGCATGCGAAAAGCACACTTGTTGTTCACCACGAAGCACACTTGTGATGATCACATTATGTGCTTCACGCAAGAATTCCAGAAAAAAATCGATGAAACCTAACAAAAGCTAAGCAAAATCCAAAAGACCGAAAAACACCCAAAAATGTGTGCATTTTTTTAAAAAATGTGCTGCGGCCGAAGCGCTGAGCACGCAATACGTGGCAGCCTTCAGAGGCAGTACATGGCATGTTGGGACGCTCCCCATGCTAGTACCAGCTAAAAAAGTTGGAAGGGGAGTACCAGCTAAAAAAGTTGGAAGGGGTGCCATTGAGTTGTGCGTCCAAATCAAGAACTATTTTCACCATTGAGTTTCTTGTGTTCATATCCTCAAAATTAGATCCCATGAAAAGAGCTGTAAAAGATTGGAAAGTGAAAAAAAATCAGAAAAAATATAAAAACCGGGAAAAGGGAAAAAACAATACAGGAAACCAAAAAAGAATGGAACAAAGAACGATCCAATAATAACAGAGGTAGGAAAAAACCAAAATCAGGACAACACAAATGTGCTTTTTTACTTTTTAGCGGAAGCACACATGAGCTTTTTCCTTTTCAGAAATCACATGCATGCGAAAAGCACACTTGTTGTTCACCACGAAGCACACTTGTGATGATCACATTATGTGCTTCACGCAAGAATTCCAGAAAAAAATCGATGAAACCTAACAAAAGCTAAGCAAAATCCAAAAGACCGAAAAACACCCGAAAATGTGTGCATTTTTTTAAAAAATGTGCTGCGGCCGAAGCGCTGAGCACGCAATACGTGGCAGCCTTCAGAGGCAGTACATGGCATGTTGGGACGCTCCCCATGCTAGTACCAGCTAAAAAAGTTGGAAGGGGAGTACGAGCTAAAAAAGTTGGAAGGGGTGGGGGCTAGGAATCGAACCGATGACCTCCCACGTCAAACATCGGTCGTACAACCACTGAGCTACTGAGCAGGATCAGTTAACAAGTAACTCTTCTCTTATTTATTCTTTCTTTCTCTGTTTTCTCTTTTTTCTTTGTCCTTTTTTCCATTTTCGTTTTCTGTTTTTCTATTTTTACTAATTCCAGGTTTCCTCCCTCATTGATTTTCATGCGTTTTATTTTCTTACATGCGTAAACTTTTTCCAAATCGATGATGCTTTTTTAGACTTTGAAGAAATTTTGTTTTCCAGATCAATGAACTTTTTTTAGTGAACTATTTTTAACAATTGATGATTTTTTTTCAAATTCGATGAACTTTTTCCAGTTTGATGAATTTTTTTCAAATTTGATGAACTTTCTTTAAATTTGAAGTACTTTTTTTAAAATTCAATGAACTTTTCCTGAAATTCGATGAACATATTTTCTAATTTGTGAACTTTTTTCCAAATCGATGAACGTTTTTCAAATTCTATGATCTTTTAAAAAAATTGGTGAACTTATTTATAGCTTCGGTGAACTTTTTTTCAAACCGATGAACTCTTTCAATTTCGCTGAACTTTTTTGATATTCGATGAACTTCTTTTTTCAAATTTTGTGATCTTTTAAAAAGTTGGTGAACTTATTTACAGCTTCGGTGAACTTTTTTGAAAACCAATGAACTTTTTCAAATTCGGTGAACTTTTTTCGAAAATCAACGTACTTCTTTTCAAATTCTATTAGGGTTTTTTTCTAAAATCGATGAACTTTTTCACATTTTGTGAACTTTTTTCAAAATTGGTGAATTGTTTTTCTAATAGATGAACTTTCCTTATCAAATTGGATGATCTTTTTCAAGAAACGATGAACTTTTCCAATTCGTGAACTTTTTTCAAAATTTGATAAACGTTTTTTCATATAAAACATAAAAAATGCAAGGTTTATTGCGTAATAAATAACGCGGCTTCAATAGTTCTTTAAGTGTTCGTGTTCGTTTTAGTCACAGCGATCTGCGGGCTGAAGTGGTTAGCTGAACCATCTTTCAAAGATATACCTGAGTTCGAGTCGTCATACATTTGTCGTTTCTAAAATTACAAATGTATGACGACAAATGGATCTACAGCAAAACGATAAATTACAAAAAAAATCTGAAAAATATGTTTCTAAAATATTTGCACAATTCAAAAAACGTTCACAAATTGAAGAATTGATTGTGATTCCAAAAATTGCTCGTAAATTTGCAAAAACATTCATGAATCCGAAATTATTCACAAATTTGTGAAATATCCAAATTAATATGTAACTCTGGTCGAGCAGAGTTAGATTAGATAGGAGGGCCAAGAAATTTAAAGTCATGTTTTTTATATTGGTATAAATATTTTGTAACTCTATTTGACGCATTGACATGTCAATCAAATCCCACGTTACAACACCCTTACTTTCATGACTCTCCTTCATGTTACAATAGTATATGGTGGACTGATTTTTCCAAGTCTTCCATTGGGTACAATATAAGGATCACTATCTTCAACCCTTCTTTTTATAATGATCACTTCCTTAGTCATGGACTATGTATGATTTATTTACATTGTTTGTCTCTGCGATGTGCATTGCCCTAGCTATTGGATATAATCTTGTAGGCATGGGGAAACCAATACAAGGTAAATAAATTCCCTAGCTATTGGATATAATCTTTGCTATTCTATGAAAAAGAGTCTTTATTACATTGGAATACGGTTTTATCTTGTGGCGCATCATCATCTAGTAAAGAAAACATTGGAATACGGTTTTATCCACAAGCCAAAGCCAAGAGAATATACCACCCTCTGGCTACGTATAATCTTACAGAGATATTATTACATTATTGCAGGATAAAGCCTCCCATATAACTCATCAGTGTAGCGAGCGACCACTTGACGAATCATCAGACATCTCCTTCACCGGAAGGAATCTGGGCATAGGCGTCACAAGGCACCGCCTCCTTGCTCTCCATGGCTTCGTAGTAGAACACCGTGGCTGCCGCCAGATAGACCAGCTGCAGCGCAGCGAACACAAAAGCATACCCAGCGAGCACGCACAGCCCCGCCGCCATGCTCCTCCTCGAGTACACAAGAGCAGCCCGGTACACCGGAGCCACGACGGTGGGCAGGAGGTACGCCAGGACTACCAACAGGAGGCCCTCCTTCCTCCTCACCCGCGTCATGAGCCGCCACGCCTGCCTGAGCGCGCGCACGCCGCGGCGCTCCCCGTCGACCACCGACGCGGCGACGCTCACCAGCGCGAGGACGGCGAAGCATAGCTCGGCGAGGAGCGTGAGGAGGAAGACGAGGCCCTGAACAGAGAGAACACCCCAGCGGCGGCCAAGCATCATCACGGTGGTTGTACGCATGGCGACCAGCACGGCCGTCCACGCCAGGTCGAGCGCGGTGACCACGGCGAAGGTGATAGCAGGGCCCTTCAGGGTGTTCCCCTTGCAGATCACCTTGCGGACGAGCTCGGCGAGCGAGTGGCGGTCGCCGGAGTAGGTCGTGGAGGCCGCGAAGAAGGTGAGGACCTTCTTGACGAAGCCAAGCGCCAGCATGAGGATCACTTGGGAGATGGAGATGAGCATGATCTTTATGGCGCCCTCTTCGAGCTTGGCGCACTCCGCACAGGAGATGCCGGTGTTCCTCATCTCGATGAGATAGATGGACCTGGCCATGTCGTCTGCGAGAGGCTGGATGAACACGACATGGACTGAGCGGACAAGGAAGGTGGCGACGGCCAACACGAGGAACACGGGCGTGAAGAGCTTAGGGTTTCGCGTGGGGAGGGTCAGGGCTTCCTTTAGGAAAGTAAAGCATGAGCTTGGGGTTTTGGCAGCCATGGCCAGTTGTTGAAGCTTCTTCAAGGTGTGGGAAGAAAGGATTGTGAATCGACTAGATAATGCGGTGGAGGTTTATATAATTGAGGGGAAACGGCTGACGTGTGCTCAGCAGTTAGTGGAGAAATTAGAAACCTAGGGCACGTTGTTGTACCCAATGGAAAACTTGGAAAAATCAGTCCACCATATACTATTGTAAGATGAAGTGTCATCAAAGTAATTAAGGGTGTTGTAATCTGGGATTTGATTAGTCCAACAACTCTAGAATTATGTTGAATATCTAAAAATTTGTCTTAGTGTTCCTAATTAAACATTTCATCCTTTAATAACACCGTAATGATTAAGATATACATCTTCAACCTTTTTTCTAATAGTCATGAACCATGTATGATTTGTGTACATTATTTGTCTCTGCGACGTGCATTGCCCGCCTACCTTTGCTATTCTATGAAAAAGAGTCTTCTAGAAATTGGATATATGCTAGTAGTCATGGGGAAAGCGATACAAGGGATGACCTCTACGTTAGGCAAGAGGACTTCTAAGTCAATCAAGACCACTTCCACGACATGATCTATGTAGACTGCATCATTATCAGTAGTGGTGGAGATAAGAATTTGCCACGGCCTTTAAAAAAAGAATTTGCCACGGCCTTAAAAAAAAAGAATTTGCCAAAGGTTGTGTTAAGAAAATGCGATATCACACGTGTAATACAAAGTTTATACCAACATAATAACAATGTAAATAGCTTAATAAGGTGTCACAACATTGTAGTTCACTAAATATGGCAGATATGCACAAAAAAATACAATACAAATAGTTGGCAAGAGAAGTAGTCTTATATGAGTAAAAGATAACATGTGTAGAAAGTTATAACACTAGCTACTTATACACATTCACGTTGCCATGAAAGCATCAACTATACTTCTGAAAATAGAGCTCCCCCATTGAAAGTCACTAAGCAATGGCTCAATAGATCACCACCCGTACTATTTCTCAACTTATTATTCACTAGGCTCATTTCCTGGAACTCTTTCAAGGCTCTCAATGGACATCGTTAAGATCAATACCAATTTGATAAGTAAATACACGAAATCATAAAGCACACGATTTTGTGTCGACAAGCTTAATAGAGAGCTCACTAGAATTTTTAAGGAATTTGCACCTATAATCTTTTCTCATACCATCAACAGAGTTGGCAAGTTGGAATTCAAATCATACCAAATTAGTACTTGACATGTTCTTGAGATTTAATTCGGCAATTCTCATTCATTACCATCCGTGCATCACAAGAAGCAAATGAATCAAAGGATTCAAAGCTAACATGTAAATAAGAAACTCCGTATTGAACTCATTTATTCTATTGTTAAGATGTTGGATAATCTAATAACATCAAGATATACTTTTCCTCTAAAATGACCATCATTTGTCTGCATTGGATTAAACCAGTTTGATCTTCAACAAGATTTGTGTACGTAAGAATAAGAAGCATCACACACTAGTTTTTTCTACTCGCGCTAGTTGTAACATATCATTTCTCATACTTATGAGTACTCAAAGTATTGTGGATACACGCTAATAATGTGAACCATTGTTCTATAATTAGAACATCACCAGGTAACAATGGGTCTAGATAGCCAACTCTTGGTTTAATCCACGTCCACCTCCTATTTCACTCATTACAAGTGCTTCTAATTTTATTTTTTGAGATATCACACCTCGATGCATGTCATGATCCTTACAAGAAACTATCAAAATATTGAGCAAGAAAGAAACATGGTTACAGAAACTGCACACAAGCATCATTGCCCTTTGCCAAGTAATAAGAATCAATTGGAGTTGATGTGCAAAGCTATGGACGTAATAAGCAGAAGGAGATTGTTTGGTGATCAATGCTTTTTCAGTCTGTTAATCTCTCCTTTCTTTTTACAATCCCCATTTATCCTTATCCACGGATTTGGGTAAGAGTCAAACAGTAATTGGAGCCTTAGAGCATCTCTAAGATCCCTTATAATCGGTTACTAAAGAATAAATTCACGTTTTCTCCTCTAACATGCACCTAACCGATCACTTATAACGGGCTGAGGAGGATAATTTATCCTCATTGGCCTCCGCGACCCTAAAATATACTCACAGCCTACGCTTGGAGTAACAAAATGCCTCCATTCTCCCCCACCGCTCTGCCCCACTCGGCCACATCCACTCCGGCGTTGTCCTCCTTGCCTCAACCGGCTACCACACACCACTGTCGACACCCTGTAGCCCCGCGGACCTCCCGCTGTCCAATTCCGGCGAGATCCTGGTGATATTTTTTTCATTATTTATTTCATCTTTTCATCGCCTCCGGCCATGGCGGCGCTCATCCTCGTCGTCCCTAGCCTTGTGGCCCTCCTCCCCTCGCCCCCCACCGTCGACACCCGACTGCACCCCACCAACTCCTGGTAGCAGCTCCGGAAAGTGATTGAACGTAGATACGGAGGAGCTCCACTCCATCGTGTCCAGACGACGTCGCGCACGCGCCGGAATGTGTTCCACTTTCAGCTTGCGCTTGCAGAGGACAGCACGGCCACCAGAGATCTGTTCTTGGATGATAGCGAGGTGGTACTATCCAGTCGCCAATGTTGGCGAAGAAGCTCGTCGTTTATGTAAACGGGAGCATTGGTGCAACCGGTCCCGGCACCATCGCGGTCACCCTGCTGCCGGTCGGTTCCGCAACACGAGGCCACATGATCAAGAGTCACCTTCTAGTTTGTATGTGTGTTGTGTGTGCTGCAAGTGTTCGACGAAATGCATGAGCCAAATATAAGCTATTGAGGGTTCAGTTTAGCGGTTCCGGTTTGGTTAGAAACCACACTTTTTTTTGCTGGGTAGAAACCACACTTTTTCAGAGGAGCAAATATATTCCTCTAAAGGATAGAAGTCTGTTTGCTCCTCTAAATTATAGAGAATCTGTTAGAGATGCTCTTAAGTGGTACTGAAGTTGTATTTTTTTTTTTTGCGGGGAGTACTGAAGTTGTATTGACAACATGAATGACAGGAACCGCTCACATATACTTCCCAATTGTCATCGTGGCATCTTTCTCTAACAGTGAGTACATCAACATGAATCATGCTACTACATACTTGTGAGATACATATGTTTGCTACTGTTTAGCAATGTCAAGAGTTTACGTCCAATACTCCATACTTGATGTTGCTATGATCACAATTATATCTTATTTATAGATTAAAATAAACCCAACAGTGCTAACTATTCAGATAAAGGTAGACGACGAGTGTGAGGAGGAAGATGAGACCCTCGACAGAGAACACCCCAGAGCGGCGGCACGTCATGGCAAAAAGCATGGAACCCAGAAGTGCCATGCATGTGAACCGAAGCACGTCGGCAACGTCGATGGTGGTCGAAGGGCCCTTCAGACTGCTCCCCTTGATCACCTTGCGGATGATATCGGGTAGTGAGTAGCGACCGCCGAAGTAGCCCATGGAGCGCAAGAAGAATGTGAGGGCCTGCTTGGCGAAACCAAGCGTCAGCGTGACGAGCAGGAGGGCGATGTTGATGACGACGAACTTCATAACATCGTGTTTTATCTCATTCAGGAGCCTGACGTGCTCGGCGATAAAGGCGCCGGTGCTCCTGATCGCCATGAGGTGGTTGGGCCTGGCCATGTCGTCCGTGAGAGGCTGGATGGATATGGCAAGGACTAAAGGGACAACGAAGGCCGTGATGGCCAGGAGGAGGAGGTGCATGGTTGTGAAGAGTTTGTGATTTGGCCTAGGGAGGATCAGGGCTTTCTTCTTATAGGGAAGTAAAGTGTAAGTTTGTTTTGGCAGCCATGGATAGCTAGTTGAAGCTTGAAAGAGTGGGATGAAGAAAGGTTGTAGATTAGCTGGCTAATGTTGTGGTCGGGGGCAAATAGCTCCTGTGTGCTCAGCGGTCAAAGAAGACTTTGGCAAACTTTGAGAGTTTGAGAAAAAGGGGAAGTGATTGCCGTTCTAGACTCGCCGAGGGAGGACTTGGAAAACTTTGAGAGTTTGGAAAAAGAGTAAGGGCTTGCCGTCGTAGACTCGCTGAAGGAGGACTTGGAAGTCAGTCTAAGGTGTTAGAATATAGAGTTGTAATCTCAACCTCCTTCCTTCTCTTGTATTCTACCCAAATTCTTTCTGTCATAACCTTGTACGTCAAGCCAGGCTTCGGCCACGCATCAATATAAACTACCACGCGGCTCCTTCGATGGAGTAGGAACGCTTCATATCTTTCATGGTAATCAGAGCCACCTCTTCTCATACATCTAGCCACAATCCAAAACCCTAGAAACCACACATCATCGTCTCCATGGCTTCCTCCGCCGGCGTCTCCCTCAATCTTGGATCGCCGCCGTCTGAGAAGCTCGCAAGAGGTAATTTCATCCTTTGGAAGACGCAGGTCCTCCCAGCCCTGCGAGGCGCGCAGGTGACGGGGCTCCTGGACAACACCGATACCGCTCCACCCAAGATGGTGGAGATCACGAAGGCAGACAAGACCACGGCCCTAGAGCCGAATCCCCTATACGGACCCTGGATCGCCAAAGATCAGCAGGTTCTATCATACCTTCTCAATTCCATGTCTCCAGAAATTCTTGCACAAGTTGTTGGGAAAGATTCCACCTTTGAGCTCTGGACGACGGTGACAAATCTCTTCGCCTCACAATCTCAGTCTCGGATTACTAATCTGAGAATCGCCATCACCAATACCAAGAAGGGCTCGATGTCAAGCTCGGCGTATATGGCGAAGATGAAAAGTCTTGGGGATGAACTAGCTGCTGCAGGTCGTCCCGTATCTGATCCGGAGATGGTGGACTATATTCTGGCCGGACTGGACCACGACTACGACCCCGTGGTGACGGCGATCGGCGCTGTCAAAAACATCATCACAGCCGACGATCTTTTTGCCCAGATTGCTGCCTTTGATCAAAGGATGGAGATGCTAGGCGACTCATCTTCAGGCGGGTTCTATTCATCCGCTAATG